AATAAGAGAACAGCTGGGACAAAATACTAGAGAATTGATGCTATTATTAATCTTACTACTATTCATTTATCAAGGAATTGGAAAACAAAAGGTGAATATGATATAGTTGACTAGTATAAAGTCTGGAAGATAGCTATTAATGATAAGTTAACTTGTGATATTAAATAGAAAAAAGGTTGGGTAAGTGAAAATAAATTTGAAAACATTTGTATTGTTTAATTATGTTTGTTACTGTATTAGTTGTATTGTATTGTTAGTTTAATAAAGACGTAAAAATAAATACAAAGGGTAAACAAATTGAAGAGTAGCCCAACTGTAGATAATCTCCACCAGAAAAAAGAACAAACTCACAGCAACACTATTTAAGAAGTTGAATGAAACAAAGCTATACAGTCCCAAAATGAAATTGAAATACTGGAATGGGTACTAAACAGTACCTAGGCAATTGCAATATTTTCACCCCAGTGTAGGAGTGCAGATGTACGAATTGTTGTACTTCTTGCAATGCAGTAAATTACAAAATAGTTAAAGAACTGTGACAGATACATTTTTTCAGCAGTCCCAGCTATAATCTTCCATACCTCCACTATCAGCAAATTGAGAGTTCCAAGAATGATCGGCAAAATCCATGTTGAATCAGGTACAGTGAGGTCCATAAACCAGAGTGTACCTCCTGTGGAAAGCTGCTCTTGAATGTAAGTCCCTGTTGAAAACATAATTGGCATATTTTTGCTATCTATATAGAATCTCACTATTTTCAGCAGTGATGGTGTTGAACAGATAGTTTGACTGAAGAACAAAAGAAATATGCCGCTCAAGTAGCAATGAATGGCAACTTCTGAGTCTTCCTTTCTGTTTCAGGGATATAGTACTCTTCCTGCTTCAACAAAAAGCTAGCACTAGCTGCATTTGAGGTTATTTTTAGTCTGGGGTCATACAAAAGCGCCTCGAACAAGAAAAATGCTGCATATGAAAAACCTTTCTTCTGGATTTTGCTTGCCATTTTAACGCAATTTTAACTCTGACCACGATTATCATGTACTTAAATAGCTCTATTCATCTTAACTCTACAAAGCATCAGTACAAGAGTAAATCTCTAACAATATTTTCAAAAATGCTATGAAGTAAAAAAAAATCATTAAAAATCATAGCAAAACTATACATCAATGGATCCTAATTCTGTTTCCACGCAGGTTTTACCTCTGACAATCTTTGCTTTAAAAAGAGATGGAGATGATCTGTACTGACTCTTTTGTCTTTTTTGCTTGGGGTACAAATATACCCCATGGAAGTATTCCTAAAGAGATTCTGGGGTATTTTTATGTCCTGAGCATGGTTTAGATTATCAAAAGGAGGGAAAAAGGTAAAAGGAAGGAGGCTGAAATTTGGGGATATATTAGACTAAGCAGTCTGTGACAATTTATGTAGGACTGTTTGCGTAAGCTATAGTAAATGAGCTAGGGAGCACCAATTACTCCACAATGTAGGATGAGGGATTTGCAGCCCCTGCAATCTATCACTGCACTTGGATTCAAAGCTACAAGCTGAGGCTAAAAGCTCATGCTGGTGAAAGAGCTCCAACCTTTCTTCTTGGATAGAGTACAAAATTTCAGCAAAGATTCCGATAATGTGCAACACCAGTTTAGAGCACTTTAAAAAAACTGTCAGTAACTTCAACTGATACAGTGTGCTAGATATGTGATGTCTGAGCTTCCAAATGCACAGTACAGTAATGTACCAGAGATTAAATAGTTGCATACAGTCTTTTGTGAGTAGCTTTTATTATCTTGCACTGATACCATCTCCCTTATCTATGCTGCTTTGTAACCACTGAGTCCAAATGACACCCCTGCTCTTAGCAGCACAAATTTAAAGTTCAGTAGGAGAATGTTCAGTAGGAGAAAGTCCAGTAGAGAGACATTGACTAGTCTGTATATAATGGCAGCAAATCATGGGTTAATTTAACCTTAAGGCTGCCGCAGTATGTGCCAGATATAAGCCTCTTACAATTTGAAAATGCAGCCTCCAACTGTAGATTGCTCTATGATGTGTGAACCCATTCAAAATTAATTTACTATGAATTCACTGAGGACAAAAAAAGTTCCTCTTGTCTGTTGCCTGAAAGAGATGTGAAGGAGACAGGCAACACCAGCAAGCAATTTTATATATAAAAAAGACTCTTTATTGTGGGTGCATGCTAACAGAGAGTGAACCCATCTCCAGTTGAGACCAGCTGCTAAATTGTCCCAATGGAGTTGCCAAATTTGTTGAAGACAAAAAAAGTTCCTCCTGTCTCTAAAGCCATCATTGTTTTGCACAAACCTTTTTCTTTTGAGTGTTAGCCTAGGTCTGCCTGAGGGGAATTCACCCTGCCCCGGATGAATTCTCTTGTCTTGTGGCTGAAAGCAGAGCCAAACAAACTCCTAAAAGCATTTGCACTTTGCATATGCTCAGGAGCTGCATGTGTGCAGCTTCTATAATTCTCACAAGTACTGATTGTTCTCTCTAGAGCATCTCTTTGTAGCAGGAAGAGCTAGCTACAGATTTCCTAGGTTTTAGGTTGGCTACCTCCAGAAAACCTGCAGTTTCACACAAACTCTTTCCCCCCAGAAACGATCAGCAATTTCTTCAACATCTGCTGTATTCTTTTCCTTATTTTCCCCTCCTTTTCCCTTATGCACTAAAAGCAAGTGCTAACTCTCAAGTTCATTATCCAAGAACCCCAAACTTGCCCAACATGCCAAGCACCCCAACAGTCAAGAGGACCACAAGCCCATCCCTATGTTAATGGGATGGGCCTGCAGCAATCACATGTTCTGAGGTAATCACATATTACTTGTGTAATAAAAGTAATGTATTATTACATTATACATTACATAATACACAATGTATTAATATTAGAGAAACAGGTGGCCATCATCAATCAGAACAATTATTTATATTTTCATCATAAAACATGAAATTCATCCACAATGAATTACACATCTGTGTGCACATTAGTCTGTCAAGCCAACATCAAGAAATGAGTATTTATTCAGCTGAACTGAATTGACAATACAATGAAAATTAGCAACAAATGCCAGTTTCACCACTGTCCTTTTCCCATTCAGAGGCAAGGGGAGAAAGCCAGTAGGGTTTGAAGCTCTGCTTTGATGGAATATCTACAGTGAGTATACAGGGGAACATGTGTTTCAAACCATGGGTTAACCACTGCGTTGCTTAGTCTATAAACAACTTCTGGTTTGGATTCAGACAAAATGCTCTGCAACCTATGAAGGAGCCAACAATGGGCTGTGCAGTCAAAGCAGAAGTGATGAGCTGTGAGAGGCAGTGTGCCCACCCACCCCAGTTCATGGCAATCACAAACCATGGATTGTTGAACGGCTTGCCGCTGTGTGTTAATGAGGTCATAGGGACCAAGAAAGAGGCAGCAAATCTGTAGGAAGACTTGTGCAACTCAGTTCTGCAGTTAAGAGATTTATGCCTAAAGGGGAACATGCTAAATAATGAGAAAATAACCAAGCAGCTAATCTATTTTAAGGTAGTAAGTTTCATAGGGATGGACTACTTTGTATATTATATTTTCGAATGATTAATTTTGAACAGTTCATCACATTTTTAATATTCTGCATTTAGTATTTTTTAACAAAGAGTGACAATTCCTTTTAAGAATTGCACTTTAAGGCAATTGTTGATGTCATGTGCTATAAAGTCATTTCTGACTTACAGCAAGCCTATGAGTTAAGGACTTCCAAAATGACCTACCCATGACAGCCCTGCTTAGCTTTTGTAAATTCAGGGCTGTAGCTTCCTTTAAGGAATCAATCCATCTTGTATTTGGCCTTTCTTTTCTTCTTCTGCCTCCCTATTTCCCTAGCATGACTAAAACAATTAATGTATTACAAAGAAATAGCAAAGATTGGCGCTAGGCTGTAAAGTAATTAACAAGATGTCTTAAACCTGAAATTAGACATTTTTGTTGAACTACTGGTTAAGAAAGGTATGTGGGACAAAACACATTCATTTGACAATGCAAGGTTAAAATCATTACCTTCAGATGTTCCGCTACCAACACTAAGGTTACGCAAAGCTACAGAAACGAAGACCCATAATGGAATCTGTATCCATATGAGCAGTGTGGCCTTGAAAGGGTGGCAATTATCTCGAACATACAGCTCTGAAACAATTCTCTTAAGATTCTTCTTGAAATAGAACCTGGTTGAGAAAACAAGCAAAATCCAATTCCACAGATGAACACTAAAACCTATATATGTACATTCAGAAGTATGTCCTCTTGAGTTTAGCAAGACACACACATTTGAGAGCATAGGAGTACATTCCTTTAAAAAGTTTTTCAGGTAGAAGCGTCAAGGATTTCATTCATGTTTATGACTGTCACGTAAATCTTTTCTTAAATATGACACACTTTTAATTTATATCAATAAGCTACATACAAAGCATTTTAATTTCTTGCATAACAGTGCCCGTTATTCATGCTACAAATGTTAAGTGTAAGAATGCTATATAAAATTTTAAAAAGTCACGACACACTAGTTTTATGTTTGGTATATTAATCTACTGGTTTTATTTGCCAATCTAATATTGAAATTCTTCAAATCCATGTTCAAGGAGCAAATCCACACCAGAAAAATAAATGTAATTCTGTTCATCACTGTGATGAATTGTAAGTCATCTGTAAGTCCATGGAATTTAAGGGGAGCTATTCATTATTATACAGTACAGTTTGCACATATTAGGGAAAAGTCACCGACAGATCTGAAAAGAACCAGAACTAGAAGACAGATGAGCTAGTGAAATCCTAGCGCTTTTACCTCTCGCTCATCCCTCTTACTTCCAGTTTTAATTTTTCTCTGAGCTGGTGTGGAAACAGCAGGAAAAAGTCAATATTAAAGCTGATAGCAAACAGCTAAATCCTAAAGACATGACCCCCCCTCTACTCAGAAATAACCCCCCCAATGAATTCAATGGGCCATTTTACAGTTTCTTTACACAGAACTGTAGTCTAAACATTTTTTACTTATCAACAATTTCCACTGATTTTCAGTAAGGTTATTTCCCAGGTATGCTTGACTAGAATTGCAGTCTGTCTTAACTTTATAGGCAATTTCCTAATCCTGGATCCTATGTATATTTACTTGAGTGAATTCAGTGAGACCTTAATCCTAAGTATATAGGATTGGTCCTTCAGAGAAGAAAAGGGTCTAGAAAAGTACCATAGCTAACAATACTTTCGTGTCTGTATGTTAGACACTGTAAATCATGCTCAGACAGAGAACACAGAGGTTTAGAGTTGAATACTAGGGACAGAATGGAGGAGATTATAAGCACTGTAATTTAAGAACTGTTGCCAGAGTTTGTTTTCTCCTCCCCTCCTTTCCATCTACTTTTCCTTTTGTGTCACGTCATGTCATGTCATGTCATTTTATTTTTATTTATTTAAAACATTTCTATGCCATTCCTATTTAGTCAACAACTCTCAGGATGGTTCGCAATATATTAAAAATGTAAAAACATAACAAACACAATCATAAACAATAACAAGAGAAAACCAATAAAATTATATTAAACAGAAGTCTTTTAGATTGTACATCTAAGAGCAGAAACTGCCTTGTTTTTTATTGTTCCATAAGCCACTCTTTAAGTCTTTTAACTGAAGAGTGGACAAAAGATGCTGTAAATAATATTAATAAAATGCAGGTATGAGGTGGTCATACTATTGTGGAAGTAAGGTCAGTTTAACAAAAACATTCTGAACAAAACAGAACAGCAAGAAGGTGATTAAACTAATCTTTAAAAGGAATAACGAAAACATATAAAAAGGTTTAATCAAAAGTACAGAAAAAGGAATTCTAAATCCTAGAAAAGTTTAGTGGACAGGACAAACAGCAACAGTGGGAATCTAAACTGGAATGCAAAATACAGAAGAAATAAACATTTCATGGGTGCACCATTATAGAACCACCATTCATCCACCATTCATATGTGAATCTTCCACAAATATCTGAAGGTGGTTTGCTGTGGTCATGACTAATCCAAATGGTAAATATGGAATAACTTTCATATCTACTACAACTGGATTAATTAGGGCACTGTGCAAATGCTTACCTGGCTGATTTTTCAGACCACTCCTGTTGTTTTGCACAAATTGAAACTTCATAGCGAAGACGCTTAGCCAAACTCTGAATTTCAGGCTGTAAATTTTCCAACTAGCTGAAAAGACACAGGTGCCTTTAGTGTAAATCAATAAATTACTGTTTTTTCAGGTCATCTTCCCTAAAGAGTCACAACTTTTAACACACAACCTTAATATTGGTCATCCTGAGTACTTGCAAAAGTGTGGGACTTCTGTTTATTAACATCACATTAATAAACTACTGCAGAAACAAAAGCTGCCCTCCAGAGAAATGAGGAACCTGTGGCCCTCAGAGCCTCCAAGTTTGACCCCTTGGAGAATTCCTACGTTATTTCCAACTCAGACTGGAGATAACAAAGGGGATGTGCGTGGCATTGGGCTCGGCCAGCACTGGTCAAAGTGCTGGTCAAGTCACAGTGGGGAGGCTGCATTCACTGATGCAATCTAGCTGGGCAAGGGTCTGGAAGGGATCTGGCAATTTGTTCCCATCACTCCATTCTGATTCTCTAGCCTTTTCATACATGGCTCTTAAAAGTTATACACGGAACAATGTCTGAAAGGATGGATGAAACGTTCTGGATAACAAAATATAAGTATCACATAATATGGTATTATGGGTATAACTGAGAAAGCTTTATACAGTGGCAAAAGAAAAAGAAGAGCAGCACAAAAAGTGCACCAAATCAAGTCAGAAGTATTCAATCCGGTGGGAAGTCAAGGACACCGACGAATCAAACTTCCAACTTCATACTGCATTCTTGTAGTTACAACTCATCTCTCAACAAAAAATCGAATACTGTCATTTAGTACATGGAGGCTCCAGCCGATTTCCCTTTTTCTTTCTCTCCTTTCTAAAAAAACCGACCTCCCCCCCCTCCCCGCTGCTTCCGATTTAAAAAGCGGGGCACGTTTTACCACCGCTGTGGAGGAACTCGGCAGATGCTTCGGAACTTCCCGGCCCCTCCTTGGACCCACCTTAGCGAGGACGCGGCCCTGCTGGGCGGCGAGAGGCAAGGTGAGGCCTGTGCGGAGGACGGCGCTGGCAGCTATCACTGTAGCCCACCAGGGAAGCCCCGACGCGGCCTGCAGTGCTACCAAGCCCGACTCCATCCACAATGCGGGCACCGAGGAAGACAGCGTCTCGTACCAGCCCCAGGAGGGCTCCCCGAGGCCTCCCCCGCCACCGACGGACGCAGGCGTGCTCAGGGGTCGAGCTCCTCCGCAGCACAGGAGGCGACAGGCAGGGTCACGCATCCCGCGCGCTACGGAAGAGACACCCCGCAGCGAAGACACAGCAAGAGACACCATCTTGCTCATCACGACGCGCATGCGCCCAACCCAGCAGCTGCCTTTCCCTGCTCCACGGAATCGCGGGCTCCCAAAAACTCCTCCTCCAGAGTTTGGATTAACGCTTGCAAGGGCAACTGCCGAGCACAATTGCATTCGGGTAGGCGGGGCCTTCCTCCTCCAGCCTGGCGCTCTCGAGAAGCGTTGGGCTACGATGCGTAGCTGGGGTGTGCCGACGCCAGCTAGAGCGAGGCAGCTGAGCTGAGCTGAGCTGTCCTGTCGTAAAAGGGTAGCGAAGTATTAGATTTTCAAGGTGCAAGGTTCACAGAAAGCTTACCTCTTGCAGTGTTTTAAAGCACCAAGGACCAACTATTGTGACGATTTTTTCTGTAAGAATAATGAATTAGAAGGATGATCAATTCTGTTCTTGTGGACTGGTTTTCCGACTAGGATCCGGCAGTCAGAGGAGGTTCCCTGCGTTTGAAAAAGGGAAGGGAAAAACGAAAAAAAAGACCCACAAAGAAAATACACATAGGACTTTTAGATTTTTATTTTTTAAATATTTAGAAACTTAAAGGTCACTCCTAATACAGCCTGTTTTTACTATCCCTGTAAAGAACACTGGGAGCTGTACCTAAGAGACTGGCTTATACCAGCCTGTCACACCGATCCGCAATTAAGGCTCGGAAATCAGTTTCTTGTCAGGGCAAATAGGTTTATTTACAACTGAATGCATGGATCCATGGGTGCCTAAAATAGGAAAGTGCATGCACGTCACAGCACCATAAAGAAAAGTTACATTTCACTCTAATTAGATGCCTTTGACAAGCCTTCTAAACTAAAGTTACCTTGAACAGGCTGGCCAGGTTAAGTAAACAAGAAGGTTACATGTGTGAACTTACAGGGTTAGGGAGGCACTTTAGCAAGCCTATAAAACGCAGAGATTACACTTTGACAGTTACCCACTAATGGAGTGGGGTCATCTGGTCTTCACCACCAGACACCGAGGCATCTTTTGATGTGTTTATGGCAAGGCAGTTAGGTGGGATGGTAAGAATTGCTTTTCTTTTTTTTCTTTTATTAAAATTTTAATACTAAAAAACATCATACATCACATACATAGGATTTACTGGGTCAACCCCCTACTACATATTTTTAACATTCTATAGTCAAATTCAAATCAGTTTATAATAATTTGAAAACATCTCTAAGTTTATGCCAAGTCCTGTTTCTCCAGCCAGTTATAGAAAGAATCCCAAGTTCGATAGAAGTCAGTGTCCTCTTTCTCCTTCAATGATAAAGTCAATCTATCCATTTCTGCACAGTCCAAGATCTTTCTTACAATCAGTTTCTTCGGTGGGTAGCTCCTCACTTTTCCAATATTGAGCAAATCCTCGCTGCTGTGATTAAGTGTAACATCAAATACATTTCCTGACTGTTAATATCTTCCAGTATGATGCCTAACAAGAAAACTTCAGGTTTAAAAGCAAAGGGTTTTTGTAATATTTCTTCCATCCATCTATGTATTTTAATCCAATACTTTTTCGCATTATCACAAGTCCACCACATATGATAAAAAGTACCCACTTTATGTTTACATTTCCAATATCTACTTGACATATTTGGAAACATCTTAGCTAATCGACTTGGTGACAAATATCATCTATAGAACATTTTATATACATTTTCTTTATACGAAGTTGCTAATGTTACCTTAATGTTCTTTCCCATAGTTTTTGCCACTTTTCTAGTTCAACATTAAATCCGAAATTTTGTGCCCATGTTATCATAGTTTTCTTGACCTGTTCGCCTTCCATTTTCCTGTCAAGTAAAAAATCATATAATCTTTTAATAATTTTATAATAATAATAATTAATAATTTTCTCATCTGTTTTAGGCATCACTTGATCAAACTCTTGGTGTTTGATCTTGGTGTCTTGGTGAAACCCCCATGCTTTACAATCTTTAGCATATCTTGATTGCTTCTGCACCTTATACCACCAGGAAATATTAAGTCCCTGTTCTTGTATTTCTTGATCCAGTTTCAGGCCACTGTCCTTATCCAAAATATTATCATATCTTATGATCCCTTCAAAGTTCAATACATTTGGATATACAAAAACTTCCATAGGTGAAAGCCATCTTGATAGTTTATTATACACTTTTAACTTTAGTTTTTCCCACACTGACATTAATGATCTTCTAATAAAATGACTCAGAAAAGACCCATGTGACTTAGCTTTCTCGTACCACATATAAGCATTCCAACCCATCTGCAAGTCATGACCTTCAAGATACAAAATTCTCTTATTTTGCAAAGTTATCCATTCTTTTACCCAAGTTAAGACAGACGCTTGATAATACAACATGCAGTCGGGAAGACCAAAACCTCCATTCTTTTTAGCCTCCTGAAGCATTTTTAATTTAATCCTTGGTTTCTTTTTTTTTCCAGATAAATCTCAAAATTTGAAAATTTAGGTCATCAAAGAATTTTTTATCAATTTTTACGGGAATCATTTGGAACAATAACAAAAGTTTAGGTAATATATTCATTTTAACAAGTGCTATTCTTCCCATCAAAGATAATTGTAAATTGGCCCATTTTTCCAAATCACCTTTAATATCCTTCAATAATTTATCATAATTATCTTCTTTCAAAGTAGTACATTTGGCTGTAAGATAGATTCCCAAATATTTTTTTAACAATCTGCAAATCTACTTGTTCCTGGAGTCTTTCTTTTTGGTCTCGTGTAAAGTTTTAACTAACAGTTTCGTTTTTTCTCTATTTATTTTCATTCCCGTAACCTCACCATATTCTTCAATCCGTTGTAAAAGTCTAGGCATTGTTACAAAAGGTTCCTCCTTTATGAAGACCAAATCATCAGCGAATGCTTGCAATTTATAACTTTTGCCCCTAATTCTAGTGCCTTTGATGTCCTCGTCATCCCTAACACTTCTATTCAGTACCTCTAAAATCAAAATAAACAACAGAGGTGACAACGGACATCTTTGTCTTGTGCCCTTTTGGATCTCTATAGGGTTTGAAAGTTCTCCATTAATTAAGATCCTGGCCGACTGTTTTTGATAAATACTTGATATCACATTCATAATTTTTCCCCAAACTCCATTTGAATCATCTGTTGCTTCATAAATTGCCAACTGACATTATCAAAAGCTTTCTGGGCATCCATAAACGGTAAAGCCATTGGTTTTTCAATAGGTATCTCATAATATTCTAACATATCCAAGATAGTTCTCAAGTTAGTCTTCATTTGTTTTTTTGGCAAAAAGCCATTTTGGTCTGGATGAATAAAGTCTATTAGGAACTTCTTTAGTCTTTCTGCCAGTACAGAGGCAAACATTTTGTAATCCACATTTAATAATAATATGGGTCTGTAGTTTTGAATCTGTGTTACATCCATATCTTCTTTCAGTATTAATGTGATATTTGCCTCAGTCCAAGTAGTTGGTATTTTAGCATTTAACAATGCTTCATTGAATATATCTTTTAAGAATGTAGCAAAAATTGCTTCAAAGGATTTGGAAAACTCGGCTGGCAGTCCATCCAGGCCAGGAGTTTTGTCATTCTTTTGTTGCTTAATTGCTTCTATTACTTCCGTGATTGTTACTTCTTGATTCAGTAGTTTTTGATATTTTTCTGGTAGTTTTAGTAATTCTCCCTTTCGAATGTATTCTTTAACTTTCTCGATTGGAATCTCCTCCTTCTGATATAACTTTGTAAAAAAGTCTTTCGCTATTTTCTTAATTTGTGCACCCTGTATATATAATCGTCCTCCGTCTTTCAGTCTCACAATCAATCTCTTCTCTTTTTCTTTCTTAACTTTATATGCTAACCATCTCCCTGGTTTATTAGCATTTTTGAAGAAGTTCTATTTGGTCAACTTCATTTGTTTAGTAAGTTCATTTGTGTCCAAGAGGTTTAACTTGTGCTTTAAAATATTTAATTGAGACTTAAGACTTTCTTTTGATGGGTCTTCCTGCAGCTCTTGTTCCTGTTTCATCAACTCCTCTACTATCACTGCTTGTTCGTGTTTTTTCTTTTTATTTATTTGCGCTGAGTATGTTATTATCACTCCCCTGGCATAGGCTTTAGCTGTATCCTAGACATTCTGTAAAGAAGTTTCTTCTGGTTTGTTTATTTGAAAGAATACTTGCATTTCTTTATTTATCTTTTCTGTAAATTTTTTATCTTTTAGCAACTCTTTATCTAGACTCCATCTGGGCGTCCTTATGGTTCCTTTTAGTGATAAAAATACCAGGCTATGATCTGCCCAGACATTTGCCTCTATTTCAGCTTCTATCAGATCTGGTACTAAGTCTGGAGTTATCCAAACCATGTCAATTCTAGACCACGACCTGCGCCTATTTGAATAAAAAGAGTATTTGGCAGAAGATGGGTTTTTGTGCCTCCAAGCATCTATCAATCTAAAGTCTTCAATCATGTTAGAACAAGACTTTGGGAGTATCCTCCTACCCTTTTCCCCTTTACTAACTTTCTTAAAGAATTGCTTTTCGGAGTACAGCTTTCCCCCCTTTTTACCATCCCGCCAAACTGCCAAGTATAACATGACCCTGCATGTATTTGAGTCAACACAGTCAGGTAAAACCATGGCTCGGCCCACTGACGGTGCCCCCCCCAGGGTGTTTTGTCCACAGGGGTTGTCATCATATGAGTACTCTGTATACTACACAACTCATGACAACAGCATCTTTTTCCACCACGCCTTACCAAAAATGCTATCGCACCAGTGCATGTATATAACTGTGGTGTTTTTACTATGTGGCCTCCCTCTGTCTAACCATTCTTGAGGTATTTTGGGGTGCCACAATTGGCTACAGCTTCTAGCAAAAGACAGATTCCTCCTGACCAGGGAGACAGGCCACCAAGCCCCTGCAGCTTCACCTTGAAGGTGCAGACTGCCTGTGCAGGTGAGGGCCATTTAGATAGAAAAACACAGAAGCACAAAAGCAGAGCAATTCCGATGGGTCCTCCTGGGGCAACCAGTCTGACCCCTGGCTCCAGCCAGCTCTGTTCATGACATGTCTGCCTTATGCATGTCTGAGAAATACTAGA